CTCAGCAGCAAGGCCAGATGGGCGGTGTCTTTGGCGTCTCACAGCCCTTGCCCGGATTGCACATTCCTTCTGCTGGCGGCGTAGCGGGTGCGGCCTCGGGCTCTGCCAGTGGCGCATTGTCGGGAGAGGCTCCTCGTAAGCGGGGTAGACCGCGTAAGCCCGAGAATGAAAAGAAGCAGCAGCGCAAAAAGCGCGTCGTTGATCCTAATAAGCCTAAGCGGTCGACGGGCCTGTCAAAGCCCATGAAGCTCTCGCCCGACCTGAGCTCGTTTTTGGGCCTCAAATACGAGGCGCGCACCGAGGTCGTTAAGAGCCTGTGGAAGTACATCAAGGAACGCGATTTGCAGGACCCTGTTGATAAGCGCTATATCTTGTGCGACGACAAGCTATTGGTTCTCTTTCACGAGAGTCGTTTGTACATGTACACCATGAACAAGCTGCTCAACGAGCACTTTATCAAGCCTACGCCCGAGGAGAATGCCGAGGCTATCGCCCTGCTTGGCCTGACGCCCTCACAAACAGCGGACAGCACCGAATTGCAGACATCCACATCGGTCAAAGGCGAAGGCTCTGCTCACAGCCCTGCACCTAGCGATGGCGATACACAGCATACCGGCGATGAGGAAGAGGAAGACGAGGAAGACGAGGAAGATGACGACCATGACGTCAAAGAAGAGACTCAGCCCACATCAGCTTCCACGGCCGTCGACACTAGGCCGAATCTGCCGAAATCCATGAGCCCTCCCGCCGCTCTTTCATCTGGTGCTTCTGCTCCACTGGTATTGCCACCAATGCCCTCCAATATCAATGGTGCTGGTAGTAGCGGCATCTAAAGCTATCATCTCGCGCAATACCCTCCTCCTTCATCCCTCCCCCCATCCCACTTTTAGTCATTTCTCTCTCTTCTCTCTTTAATTCACATTCATATAGCCTCATTTATTTATTTTACTTGTGTATCCACTTTCTCTTTTTTCCGCTATTCAGTTATTTATAGCAACTTGCTTTTATTATGCTAAAAAGCAGCCCGTGGTCCTTTTACCATTGAAAAGGGCTATGGTGTCTAGTGACATTTTTTTTCTTTTATTGCCAAAGGCAAATGGTTTTACCTTTTCTTCAAAAGAGAAGAAAACCGAGGGCTCCTTTTGTCTAAAGAGGACTTGGGACCGCCAAAGAAGCAAAAGGGAAAATTTTCTTTTACACTCGCGCCAAGCACTAGAGGAAGAAAGCTTGAGGTTTTAAACCTGCTCTTTTCTTTTTTTTTCCCTTAACTATTTATTTTATTTCTTGCATATTCACTTGTATACTATTCACTTTTTTCTTACATCATAGGGAGGATAGACGCTGGTTTATACGTTTTTTGGAACCTCCATTAGAGCTATGGACAACTTTGGGTATCCGCGCGATGAGAAGAAGCAGCCTCTAGGCGATGAGAAGCACTCCTACACCAATGACTATGAATATGAGGATGACGATGAGTATGAGGGCAAAATCTTCAAAAAGCCTGCCACCTACCCCGATGAGAAGAAAGCCCACGTGTATCCGGACGAGAAGAAGCAACCCGCTTTTTATCCAGACGAGAAGAAACAACCCGCTTTCTACCCAGATGAGAAGAAACAGCCCGCTTTTTACCCAGATGAGAAGAAGCAGCCCGCTTACCCAGACGAGAAGAAGCAGTCTCCTATTTACCCGTACGATATGAAGGCTCCAGTGACCTATCCGGATGAGAAGAAGGCGTACCAGCCCTTCCAAGAGAAGAGCCTCCCAATGGGCTTTGACACATATGCGAGCACAAGCCACGCACTCCCACCAAAGCACAAGGCTGATCCAGACCCTGAGGCGGACGAGCTCTTTTACCCGATCAACAACAGCAATTTTGCTTCGCGCAACCAGTCAGTCGACAACATTGCTCTTGGCCAGCCCACTACCCAGCGCAAACGCGCCAGCATGAGGAGCGAAAAGACTGACCACACGTTTACTGACGAGAGTCTCAACAACTTAAAGCCCTATGACAACATTTACAACGACTTGCCACATGAAACCCGCCGCCACAGCCACCGCAACAGTGGTCGCCAGCACATGCCCATGCCCATTCCCCATCCTCGCGAGAACTATGGTCGCCCAGACGAGAAGAGCGGCAGGATGGATGAGAAGCACGGTGGGCATGACTCTGAGGATGAGCCAAAAATCATTCCATACGTGGGCCGGTGGGCACAAATGTCTAGGGCATGGGCCACGCAGACCATTATTATGATGGTGGTTACGGCGTTCTCCTACTTTCTATTGTCAAAGGATGTGGAGGATATGGCCAAGGACGCAATTCTCCAACTCACCAGCGCTTGCTTGACGTTGGAATCAGCGACCAACACTGTCATCAACTCTCCGCGTAGTGTTGCTATTACTACGGTTACCATGGTTGAAAGAACCGCCCAGTCGATAATTGACCTTACTGGGCGCTCGTTCCTCAAGATTATCAGTGTCCTACAGAACCTCATCGGGTGGATTCTCAGATTGTACTTGGGCACGTACATCTGTATTGCCGAAGTCATTATCCGCACAGCTGTCAGCATTGCTACCGACGTCGCTAGGGTCCTTATTGACACGCTCAATGTCGCTGTTAATGCTGTGGTTGGCGGCTTGCAGAGCGTTGCAGCGGATATTGCAAAGGGCGTTGAAGGGGCAATCAACGACATTGGCAATTTCTTTACCGGCGGTCAGAATAAAAACGCCGTAGACTTTAATGTCGAAGATATTCGCAAGAAGCTGACCATTGAAATCCCCACCGACTGGATTGATAGCATCAGTAGCCTGGCTGACAAGATCCCGACGCAAGACCAGATTTTCGGCAATATCGAGCAGCTCCTCAACGTCCCCTTTAAGCTAATAACTACAGCGATCAACGGCACATTTTCCAATGCTCGGGTCAACCTCGTCAACAACACAAAGTTTGCTGACGAAAAGTACAGCGACCTGTGCGGCGCTCCCATGGGCCAGGAGTCTATCAACGAGCTTGCTAATGCCACCATGTGGATCATGTATATTACTGCTTTTGCCTTCTTGGGTGCTGCCGTCGGCCTGCTTTTATTCGAGCTCTACAGCGTCAATCGCCACCAGAACAAATTCCAAGTCCGAATTACCGAGTTCCGCCAAGAGCTAGCCGAGTACAAGCCGCCGCATACCAAGGAGAAGATCGAAGAGACGCCGCCCTCACGCAAGGAGATGGACTTTTTCATTTTGCCTGGTCGCCCGTGGTTCCAACGTGTGACCAACATGATAACCCGAAAGTACGGCGACAATGAAAAGACCTCTGCTTGGCGCTGGTATCTGGACTATATTTGGCACCCGCCTGCTATGGCTTGTTTCCTTGTCGGCGCCTTGGGTCTTATCGCTATTTTTGTGCAAATCAGTGCTATCGACGGCTTACGTGTCGTTTATATCCCAAAGTTCGCTCAGGACCTCAACAAGTTCCAGGACCAGTTCCTCGGCGAGTCGCTAATTGGCGGTATACGCAATGATTCTCTTGCCTTGGCCAACAACATTAACGGCGATATTGCTAGCTCCGAGATGTCACTGGATCGCACACTGTTTGCACCTATCGATGAGGGAACTACGTCGCTAAACAGCACGCTCAACGGGTTTATCGATACCTATATTGGCGGTATTCGCTCAGTGTTTGGTGGTACGCCGTTGCAGTATCCGATTGAGGGCCTGGTGAATTGTACGCTGACTCGGAACATTCAGTCGATTCAAAAGATTCTCACTTTTGTCAACGAGTTTGCTGGCGGTATCAGCTTCCCGCGCGTCAGCAACGATGTACTCCTAGACCCCGTGCTTACTCTGATGAAGCCTGTCAACAAGTCTGCCATTGCGCTGCGCACATTTGCCGTCGGCGTCTATGTTCCCAACGCTGACCTGCTAGACCCCATGTCGTTCCCCCCGGACAAGGAAGTCAAGCGGAGTGCCTATGCCGCTAGCCTCTCGTCAAAGCACAAAAGCCTGAACCCGGATCAATACTCTTCAGAGTTTGCCTCGTCTGTGCTGAGCTCTGAGGACATGCCGCCTAGTCTGGATCCTTACTTGGCTAGTAACCCGACATTGGTACCCGGTGCTGTGCTATTGAAGCGCGATTCGTCAGAAACATGGCTTCCCAACTTGTCCTTTGTAGACTCGCTGCCTCTCCTTAGCGACACCAATATCATGACTGCGCTGGGCGCCGGTCTAGGGGACCATAACCTCGCGGCTTCGCCGACTTTGTCTCAGCCCTCTTCTTCGCCGACCTCCGAGCTTGGCTCGCTTGACAGTGATTCCGACGAGTCCTCTGCCAGAGACCCGCATGCCAGTCTCACCATGTATGGCTCTAAGCCTACGTCAAATTTGACTCGTGAGGAGGTCCAGGGTGCACAGCGGTATGACGGGTACACTGGCGGTTTGCTCAACACGCTGTGTGACCAGTATATTGCTCGCCTGGAGAGCCGCATCCCGTTGATGATTGCTCTCATGGCTACTTGGATTGTCATTGTCATCATGGGCTTGATCAATGTCGCTAGAAGCCATCACCGCATTAAGCGCAAAGACCATCGCTAAGCTGCTCGTTATTATTCCCCCTTTTTCCTATCTTTTATCTTTTAATGGAAGTTTATTATTTCACCTTTGCTGAAAGGTAAAAAATATGTCTGCCTGTGTGCGTTCATTGCAGATACCATTGTTTCTTGCTAGAGGTCTTGCTTGACAGCGAGCCAAAAGAAGAGAAGTTGGGGGAAAAGAAAAAGAAATAAATCAAATCAGTGCCTTGGCAGGCGCTCACTTATAAAGGAGCTTCCATTTCGAGATGGCTTTGTTGGGCCCAATCTAATCGCCTAACCAGCTGCTACTAGTTTTTTTCCGCAAGGCCTTTTTTCCCAGCAGCCAGCACTCCCGATAGCTTTTTGTATCCGAGATAAAAGAGGGTATCAATTAACAATCTTCCGGCTTTTATCCAGCTGTAATATAAAAAATACGAAAACCGTCGACTACAGGATTCGAACCTGTGCGGGAAATCCCACTGGTTGTCTGGTGCATAGCTTCCGCCATAGCGCTATTCAAGACCAGCGCCTTAGAAACCACTCGGCCAAGTCGACCCTTCCCCTACGTTTGGACTAACTGCCATTCATAAAGGATATCCAATTAGCAGGAATTTTGAGTATAATTTGTACCCCTTTTTTAGCGCTCTCATCGGAGGCCGAGCGTCCTCCTGACCCAGAGTTGGTGGTTTAGCTCAATGTTTGGGGCTGAGGAGGGAGAGCCACTAGCTCCCCGGTGTACTATGAATCCGTAA